TGTTCTCGACATGTTTCTGTGCAATCGCAAGCCCAAAAGTACCATACGCTTATGTGACCTTGTGTAGAATTTCGTTCTGTTTTCGGAATGTAATCATGGGCAAAAATCTGACAACCGAACTGAAAGTTATGCCCATTTTCATCTACGCTACTCGTTTGCTGCTTGAATCGAGTTGATCCATTTGGTTTCTTCTTCTGAACCCAACATGAAACTTGTTCTTTGACTTGTTAACTTTGAAACTTCGTCCATCATAGCTTGAGCAAGCAATCTCATTGCCTCTTTCACCCGCTTTGCCCTCGTACGTGTCATCAAGCCTCCTTCGATAATCAACGAATCCTGTCTCGGGCTTGTCCTCGTCAGGCTCGACTCCTGGATCATATCAAAAGGGATCCGGGTCATGCAGTTCAGATTGTTTCTTCTAAGTCTATATTTAAGGAGAAAAATGGTGGTAGAAAAAGTGGGGGTATTTTGATGGATGTTTTGAACGTAGTTAATAATCCTCTAGCTATTCTTGAGCACAATGAGGGAGAGGATGCAATGGATATATTTTTAGTGCGTCCTCATACCAATTGTCCTCCATACTAAGACTCTGAAAGGAGATATGGCTTTAGTTGGGATAGGCGTTAATGGGGTGGCTAGAGAAAGAGTAGACCCTATGGATAGTACTACTGTCCAGGTGAGGGACGTGGGTGGTGATATGGAAGTTACGGATGTTGCATCCAACACCATGCGGTCTTGATTTGGAGTCTTGTTTCATTACTTATTATTTATGCTTAATATAAGTTGAAACGTGCGAGGGGAAGCCTCGAAGAGATGCATTTGTAATATGAGGAATTTGATTTCAATGCATAGATTACATATTTTAATAATTTTGGAACCAAGGATTGCAGGGGATCATGTTACAAGAAGATGTAAGCAGATAGGGTTCTCGGATTTTTTGGTGGAATTTGGCTATTCTGGAATTCAAGAGAAGTTGAAATTGAAATTGAAATTGAAATTTACTCTTCCCAAGTTATATATGCATTAGTGAGGCAACCGAGCAAGCCTAAATGATTATTAACTGCAATATATGGGAGTCCAGAAGCTGAAGAAAGGAAGGCACTATGCGATTTCTTCGAAACTTGCAAGCACTTTTCATCAACTACCTTGGTTAGTTATTGGTGATTTTAACCAAATAATTTCAGTAGAAGAAAAATGCAACAGATGAGGTGTTAATGTTAACCAATGCCGAAAGATGGTAGTGTATAAATTTCTGAAATTTGCTAGACTTGGAAGCTTCAGGGCCAAAATTTACTTGGTGCAACAAAAGGGAGGGTCTACAGTATACAATAGTTAGAATTGATCGGGCTATAGAAAATTCTAAATGGTGTGATCTTTTTCAGTTACTAACTTATCTAGAACACATTCAAATCATCATCTTATTTGTGTGAATGGAAGCAACCAGGTGAATAATATGAATCAAGATTTGCCTTTTCGATTTGAGTGTGCATGGATGTTACATGACAATTGTTTGGAAGAGGTGAAACGGAATAGGCATTATGGGAATGATGATATGTCCCCAACTTTTAATTCTCTTGTAAATTCTATGAAAATTTGGAGTAAAAAGGAGTTTGGAGATATTTATAGGAAAAAGTGAAGATTTCTTGCAAGGTTTAATTGGATTCAGAAATTATTAGATAATGAACCCAATGATTTTTGACAAAACCTTGAAGTTATATTGGTAACAAAATATAACTTGGTATGTTTTCGAAAGGAGACTTTGTTGAGGCCAAAAGGAGTAGATTGGCTCAAATTGGGGGACAACACCAAGTTTTTCACAATGTTCTCCAGGACAGGAGATACAGGAAAAATATTTTAATGTTGAAGAAAGATGAGAACACTTGGTGTGAGGATGCGGTGGATTTAAAAAATATGTTTGCAAGTTGTTGGCATGGGAGTATCAATAGAGGACCAGTCTCCAAGTAACAGCCCCAAATGAATTTTGTAATCAAACATTCACCCTGATAAGCAACTCGAAAATTTCCACCTAACGGCTCGGTAAAAACCCATCTGATTTTGAGACACCATAATCAATTATTTGACTAGGATGACATCATCACTTTACTTCATCCAACCTCCTCACAACACCTGTCATGGCTGACCTAAGCAACTCAAGGCCAACCAATCACAATGTTGCAATGATTAAGAATAACAGCATCCATCCTAAACATCATGATGGACTGGCAGGGCTGACCTTGTCCTCCAGTAGAAAGCCCTTTTAGCTGAATAATTTTGGCATACCAAATAAGGAAGACACTGTAGTTGACGCCGGTAGCCCATCTACTGTAAGCGAATTCAAGAAGTCGACTAATTTTCATATTTTTGGCTATAAAAGGCAACTTATTGTCCCCTTGGAGGGATACAATATTTCCACTTCTTGTACTTTAGTTAATTCAAGACAAAAGTTAATGCAATCGTTTTCTTTTAATTGTTCCTATTAAAAATCATCTCATCCTTAATGCAAATTAAGTTGACTGAACTCATCTAAATCAAGTTCAAACGTCAACAGTTTGAGACTAGAGGGTCTTGTGGAAATAAATAAATAAATAAAAATTGCCCACATCTCTCTCACAAAAACACTTTCCCTTCAATTATATCTGCTTGTCGTAAAAGACCATCATGACTGATAGTTCAGTGTCCCATGAAACCAATGTCCCAAAGAATCTACAAAAAGAGGAATGAATCAGCCAAAGAGGAAAACTCTCAACTCATTGCTATGAAAGAAGCAACTGAACGTTTAACTAACCCCGTTCATCAAATGGAGAGGAAGCAAGCCATGACTTCTCCCATGGCTGAAACTGAGGTGCAATCTCTAGCAAAGGGGAAGGTTGGACAATCCTCTGCTAGAAGAGGTTTACGCTTCTCAGAAGGAGAATCCTCTAATAGCAAAACCGACGAGGTAAGGAGACCCTAGTGCATGACAACACCTGACCCAATAATTTTCACGCCAACAACCCAAGTTGCTGTGAAGAAGATGACTCCAGAAGTTAAAAGCTGTAAGAGGCAAACAAATTTGATTGTCTTTGACTCCAGTTTCGAGAAGAAAAAACAGGATGAGTCATGAACCACGAGTAATTGCTTGTATATATTATGATTTATACTTTACTCTTCCATAACATTATATGGCATTCTATTATGTCGTTGGTCTGGTAAAGTTAATGTGAAGAACTCAGCTTTACTCTAAAACCAAATTGTACTTCATGAACTACTCTCTTTGTCCTTATTAATTCTGTTACAGATTTCGTATTTCATTTCTGTGATTACTGAGAAGCATTTTTGTCTAAAAAATTAACAACAAACCATCTTAAAGTGAATAAAACTAACGTTATGTGTTCGTCACATAGAATTCACAGCAATGTCCCCCCAAATTACTATTCTGATCACTTTAATTGCACTTCAAACTACTGTTCAGATAATCTCTAACTTGTCCATGTTAGATGAAAACTCATTCTTCTTCAATTCATTTTAAATGCAATCTGGTCCTAAACATATATTGTACGCCTACAATAACAGATTTTTTGAAATTCGGGACCATATTCTCTGTTCTGTCGTCCCTAATTTGTATGCATGCTAAAAACAGATTGACTATTTATATTGTAGATTGCTAAATTTTTGCGCTCTATTTGCACTATATAAAAGTATCTTCAATGCAATTGTACATGTTTCAAATAAAATGAAGGACCGGTAGAACTTCAATAGAGTTGCAAATTGCACTAATTGTGGATCAGATGTAAAAGAAGGGACGTAAATATAAAAATAAACGTACACCCAACATTCAATAAAAATAAATTATAAAAAATTAAGTAAAGGGTATATAGGGCGAACGGTGTTCTAAACATCCTCTTACCTTTTTCTCTCGTCATTACACACTTCCATTAATTTAGATTTGAGTTATTATCATTACTGCAAAAAATTATCAATTCCAAATCACAATCAAAATTTAGAATACTAAATGTATAATATCAATTAACATATTAAGAATTTTCATCAATTTAGAATAATAGGAATGACTCCAAAGTCAAACAAACAAATAGAAGAGAAGAAACCACCCATTTTATGTAGTTTTCATACAAACGGCACCTAGACACTACCTAAAAGCTTGACTTTATGGCCTACACTATTTAAACTAATAAATGCTTGATGCTTAACCTTACCACTTAGTCACTTTACGTTTTTTAAAACACTAGTTATTTTAATTGACAACGTACAAACAAGATGGATGGATTCTCAATCATATAATAGTGAACGTGGAACGCCGTTGAGGAAAAATAAGAGATTAGCTGAGATGTGTAAAACGAGGATGATAAACTTCATGTTGCAAGAAAAAATGAATCTCATACACCAGTCTCAGGAATGCAAGAGCCCTTCAAATCTGCCAATTATTTTCCTTGTCCGGAAGCTACTTTCACGGTTCTAAAATGGAAACCCGTGTCTACTCTTATAACAAAATCGAATATTTTTATATGTTGAGAATTTGGCACTTGACCACACATTAAATTAGCCAAACACAGGGATTTTCAGAGTTCTTATAACGCTGAAACAAAAATACTCTTCGCCTGCTAAAGGCCACTCGAGCAGCACCAGGTTTAATATGTTTATTGACCACCCTAATGAAAACGTACTGTGAAAAAATTTGCATGTCTGGATTCTTGCAGTTGATTCTACACCTTTGCAAGTTCGGTGGCAACAGGTGCAGGAGTAACACCACCAGTTGTTGGCCTGTAAAAAAATTGGAGGGGGAGGGGGTGTTACAAAATCAACTTTCAGCAAAGGTTCAAGAATAATGCTGCACAGGGCAACGTCGGCCCTGTATGTGCCAGGAGGCAGATGTCCCCCTGTGATAGGGGGAGACAAATTCCCCTGGCACGTACAGGGCCATGTTATAGCACTGTTCAAGATTTAAGCACCCATTGCAAATACGCATGCATATTGCCAGAAGATTCTAATAGAGTGACAGGTAGCCAGGGAAGTGAGTTGTAATGCTCAAACACATTCTGAAAGGGAGACTTACAGCCCAACAAAAACTTTGAAAGCATCATAGATACCCCACTGAGCCCCAGTGAGAGTTCCAATCATGACAATACGAAGGGGAAGTCCACGTGTAAAGAGACCCCATAAACCAAGCTTCTTTACAGCCTGTGAGAAAGGAGAGGAATAACATAGTAAGGTAATGCAGAACCCAAGGGACAGGGCACACCAGTATAGAGAAAAATAAAAATAAGAAAAAGATGGCTCAGCACACAAACACAAATATTATACTCACGTCGCCAACGGTGGCACCCTTGGCATTGTTGAGGAAAGAAACAAGGTTATCAGCAGGATGTGATACGACAGCACAGAAAACACCAGCAACATATCCACCAGCGAAGCTCACACCAAGCTGCAAGGGCTTGCTGCATTCACTTTTAGGTGTAGGGATTGCATGCTTGTAAATCATCTCCACAATAGTCTCGAAAGATGCAAACTTCATCATTGTATCTGCAAATTAACCCTTGTGTTGATATGAAATGACCCTAGTAGAAAGACTACCACAAAATTTGACCATGCACAAGCACGGTTACGTGTACAAATGGAGAACATCAAGAAGTTGACGATAGATTATATTTGCATAAAGCTATTAGACTACAATCAAATCACTGAAGGCATAAAATTTATGCATCAAAAGAATCAAATCCTTCCACGATCCGGCAAAATAAAAACTAAAAAAATCCAACAATAACCAGGTTTTGATGAAAACCTCTAGCAGCTATCTCAAAGAACCATATGAACATTGCATTTAAATACTCCACGACACATTCTAAATAGGTATGACAAACAGATCCAAATAATTAGAATATATTGCAATCACTGTGAACATATTAATAGGTCTAACATCAATGTTAATGTCAGATCAATTAACCAAGGAATATAACCTAGATTTAGCATCCGTCTAGGAAGAATTTAAAAATAGATAGAAATGAGTAGTAGATAAGTACATATTACTAGTGGATTCATTGGAATATGTAGTTGAAAATGAAGTTTTAACATATATAAATGATTTACAAATTTTGCCAAACAGAGGCTTAGCAATAAAAGTTGCGTTTACAAGAAATTGCAACTGATCATAGATACAAGACCGAGGGCAGGTTTGCAATGACATGCCAATAAACAACTAAAAGAATGATGCAGTTGAAAAAGGTTCAACATTGATTTTCCAGAGAAAATAGCTCTATTAAATACGGAGGAGTAAGTTGACATCCACATCATCCTCATCCCAATCAAAGGAAAGACTACGCTTAAAATCTCTAGCAGTTATCTCAAAGAACAATGAAAACCACACATTGAAATACTCCACACAGCAATCTATATGGTATGACAAAAAGGTTCAAAAATCTGAATATATTAGTCATTGTAGAAATATCAACAGGCTGAACATCAACATGAATGTAAGATCCATTTATCCCACTGATTGTAATAAAGGCCAAACATTTAGCAATAAAAATTACATTTACAAGAAATTGCAAATGAACATAGAAAGAAGAATGAATGCAACAACTAGTTAGCACTGACTGCGTCAAGCGATAACATACCAATAAACAACCAAAGGACTGCAATTAAAAAAGGTTTGTGCATTGATTATCCACATATATTAGTTTTATTAATATGGAAGAGAGCTGTTTTACATCTACATCATCCTAAAGCCCATCAAAGGCAAAATCATGTTGGGCAGAGATTTAGCAAGCAGTACCTTGGTACCTTTCACCATCTTGTCATCTATTATAAGTCAGAAACACAAAATTGATGCAATACTGATTTAAAAGTTGACGCAACTTTAAACAACAGTATCCAAGGGACATATAGGAGAGCTTCCACAACAATGCAGGAAGTCAACGCCAAGCATATATTTTATTTCAAAAGTCCAGCACAAGAAGAAAGCTGCAACACACACATCTATAAACTTACATGGAATTTGACGTCCCCAAAGAGGAACCAGGCCCTTGTACAACCTGCAAACAGTGAGAAAAATATGAACTCTTGAGCATTTTAATTTGGCCGCCAGAATTAAATTACAATGAAAGAAAATTGTGTTTCACATACCCAAGAGCACCTTCAGATCTCACAAACTTAGGAAGCCCATCAGACAAGCCCCTAGCAAAACCAGGCTGTGTCTGAACACGAACCTTCACAGCTTCTAAGGGGCAGAGTGCAATATCTGCAATGACCTCAGCAGATGCAGAACCAGCAAGATAGATCAGAGTCTTGTATTTGGCTGCATTTTCTGGTCCTGCAAGGTCACTATAGTACTTCTTGAAGTATTCATAGAATCCAAACTTGCAGGCACCCTGAGCACTGTAACCAAGCAAGGTAGGCACCCATCCTCTGAAGAAACCTTTGACTCCCTGTTCCTTAAGTAGCACTCCAAAACCAGATGAGATGCTCTTGTACTTTGCTGGATCAATCTGACAAATTAGAGTAAATAGTCAATTCAAGTGAATGATTGAGTATCTAATTATCAAAGATTAGAATTATCAAAAATTGGATAATATAACATTGCAAGAAGCGGAGAATCCATAAACTGAAAACATGTGCTTGACCTTAGTGTATCACATAGTTTTCATGAAAACTTAGAGTCGACTTGGTCCAATCCCAACCTAAGGTGCAGACAGTAAGACGACAATTTATTTTATTGAGTTGGAATATTTTGAATTCGTTAGTTTTCATTTTCAATTCCAAAAACATCATTTATATAATTCTCAAATATTTTAAACATACAGGAAGAAAGAACAAAGAAAATAAGATCAAGACCACAACCGAGCTAGTAAGATCTGAACTAAATATCACATATTCACTGTAAATAAAACAATTTTCAGATCAATAAAGCTTCTGCATAAATTATTCACCTACAGAACCAATCTTAGATATTTTTTTTTTTTGATAAGCGAACCAATCTTAGATATGAGAAACAGAAAAACTAAAGCCAACACATAATCTAAGCTAAAGACTATATCTTAGGCAGCACTACCAAAATTTTCATTAAAGATCTAATTGTATTTACTACCCGACCACTAGATCTGTTTATATACCAAACCTATATACATAAAACTCGATAAAAAGACAACATCAACCCACAGCGACGAAGGCACGATAAAATTAATGAAAAATGATAGAGAAATTAACAGATCTGGGAGTGGTTTAACCAAACAAACCTGCATATTACATTTGACGAGATCGAGAGGAGTAACGGCCGTGTGAGTCAGACCGCAGCTGAGTATTCCACCAACAGTACAAGCAGCGTAGAACTGTGGAGAGTACATCTCGATTTTGCCTGGCTCGCTCGGCGCCGGAATCATAAAGCTCTTGTTCGGAGCCGAAGCAGATGGCGATGGTGATGACGGCGACGGCGAGAAGCTAGGGTTTGAGTTGCTAGCCATTTTGTCAAGTGCTACTTTATTGGAAGTCAAAGAGGAAGAATATAGGAAACTTGGAATGAGAGATTGACGGCGAGAGTTCTCGGACAAGAAAGCCATGGGTGACTCAGTGAGACGGCGGAGGAAAATTCAACGGAGGAGAGATCGGCGGCTAAGAACCTCAGGAGTACCGATTTCTCAGCCAGCAAATCTTTTCCTACAGAGAGCGATATGTTCCAATTTCATTGGCAAAATGGACCTCTTCGTTGCTTTATACGCGGGCCATTACAGAAATGAATTGGTCCGCCTATGGTCTCGAAATTACCATTCTGGACATGCCTATTATTGTTGGAACGATGCTATACATCTAGGGTTAAGTCCAGGCCTAAATCCAGG